AAAAAAATTCCTTATAAAATATAAGGAAATGTGTTACGGAATTTCAAAAAATGTATACAAAACTTATTTATAATAATAAAAAAACGTATGCAAATTTTTTATAGGGTTGACTCGACTCATTAGGAATACTAATATAATTTAATTTTAATAAAATATTTAAATACTTTTTATAATTTTATATATAAAACTAAGGAATATTAAATTATTATTAAGTCTAAAATGAAAATCTAATTAAAATAATACAAAATTTTTAGTATAATAAAATCATGCTTATTAAAAAATGTAACATAATTAAATTAATTCATATATTTAATTAATTAGTTTTTAATAATAATAGCTAACTATTAGAAAACGTAACGTAAGAAATTTTAATAAAATTAGAAATGTAACATAAATAAGTTTTTAATTCATTAATAAAATAAATTATAAAAATTTATTAAATAAATATTATTATGTCTTAATTAAAAAATAATGCATATATACAATATTAATGCTTTTAATTGTATTTATATCAGTTTATAAATTTGTTTATTATTTATTATAATTGACCTTTTAAAAAAAATTATATAATAAAAGTTCTAAATGTAAAATTTGATCTGAAATAAGAATCTTATCAACCTAATTTGATTTTTTTATTTTTTAATTTAATAACAGATAATATTATACTAATAATTAATAAGATTAAGTTACTTTCAATAATAAAATCAGATTACTTATAATAAAATACTTTAAAATCAAAATTTAATAATAATTCTACTAATTCTGAGATTTTCTGAAAACGTAAAGAAAAAATGATAAGACAAATGAATAATGCAAAAAATATTTTATACGTAATTACAAAAAAAAATGAAAATTAAGCAGATAAATTATTAAAAGATCATGAAAATAGACTTGTAAGCATGCCAAAATAAAGAATAGAAAAAAGTTCAATGAAAAATATTAGATTTATTTTAGACTTGAGAATGAGCATAAAACATAAAATACTTCTTCAAATCTATAAATCTGTAATATACTAGTAACACAAAATCAAAGAAAAGATAATGATTTACCTATAAATAATAGATCTCTTAAGATTCAACTATTACTAGTGAAAGGAATTCATATAATGCTTATGGTAAATTTATGGATTGAAGCTGATTTAATTAATAATAATACTGTTAGGCAAAACTGAAATATTTAATTATATGACAAAACTGAAACTATATAGTTTTTAATAATTAAAATATCAAATGCTAAAATTTTATTTCTATAGATTTTTCATAGATTTTAACTCACAATTTTAATAATATTTTATTTTACTATAAATTCTAAAAATTTAAAATTTGTAAATAAAATATTATTTATTGTATTTTATTTATTATATGAAAAGTTTAATAGAAAAATTTTTTAACAAAATTTTGATTTTTATTATATTTTAGTTTTTTGATATTATTAGATTAAATATAATAAGATCTTAATTTTAGCCAAAAAAATTTTCAGATCCTGATTTTCCTAATAAACTTTTCATATAATACTAGTCTAATGATACCAATTCAGAAATCATTAGGATACATAAATGATATCTGAATGATACCCTAATAATTCCTAAATTGGCATCATTAGGAGTCATTCGGTAATTACTAAATTATATCTAATGATAACCTAAATTTAGGTTTCATTCGGGAATCATCTGGGATATAGTAAAAAGCTATCATTAGATATATAATTAAGCTACCAAATTGCATGCTGAATTATAGCTTTTTTTTCTTTATTTACAAACTAAATAATATTAAATTACTAATTAGTATAATTCGATTGGATTACTGAATATTGGTAAAAATATAATTTATGCTAATTTATTGAATTTTGCCAGATTATAAGTACATTTAATATAAATATTTAAATATAAACTAATTAATCCTATCTGAATCATATTTTGAATTTCCTTCTTGTTGACTACTATTATTATCATTATTTAATTCTTCTTAGATATTTGAATAACATTGATTGCAAGCATCATCAACACATTTCTTTAAATGAACATTATATCTGAAAAGAATCTAATCAGGAGTTCTAAACGGAGCATCACCAATGATATAATGTTCATTGTCATGAATACGATTTCTTTGACGAGTGAATCTAGATATTTCATTAAATTCCCTATCAATATAATCTTGTAAGAATTTACGAGTCTAAGAATAATCAATTAGTATTCTATATACATACATATAAAACAAATTAAAAATTTAAAATTACTGTTAAAGAGCGTTAACTCATATCCTTAATAACAACTAATCTTTCATTATCTGGATGATCTAAGTCAGTTTTACTTCCTACTTCTAAGTAGTATCAGTTATTATCAATAATTAGACGAAATTCATTTTTTGAAAATTTTTTAATTAGTTGATCTTTTTCTTGATGTAATCGATCAATTACTCTAGCTCATCACAACCTTTTCTATAAGTATATAAATATAATGAGTAATAATGAATATAAATATTATTAATGGGATATTTATTTCTCTAGCACGAGCATTTTTATGCCTTCTTCTCGTCTGTCTGTCTTGTTCTTCTGAACTTTTTAATCTTAATAAATACGATTCTCTTTGATGTCGATATCGTTCATAAGCAATATCATATATAATATTATCATCAACAGAAAATCTTTGACAGTCAATACTCGCTTGTATAGTTTAGATAATTGTATGATTTACTAGATTTCGTTGAGATTCAAATGTAAGTTTTACATTCAATTTAGAATCATTTGGCATGTTTTCGATAATTCTAAATATTTTTCTCTAAACTATTTAATTTATATCAATTAGTGATTAATATTGAAAACAAGAATATAACAGAAAAATAATACTTACTCTTAATACTGTTAAGAGGTTTTTGTTCATGTCCAAAGTATATATGTAATTAGATATTTTTGGGTGATGATGTTTTTTATGTTTCTTTTCTTTTTTTTATATTTATAATATTTGTCTTTTCGTACATTCATTTCTTCATCTGAAGTATTAGAATTAAGAGAAACTACATCATTAGTAATTTCATTAGCTCCATAGTATGATTTATTATCGATAATTTTACTAGTTTGAAATATGATTGATGTGAATATTTGTTTAATAGATTATCATTACAGCTGAAACTCTTTTTAATGTTAGATAGACTGGTCACATCATAATCAGAAACTTTGGTATTTGACGGACTAGCCATATTATATTTAAAAGTTCTTTTATAATCTGGTTTGACACTCATATTAATAATATCTTCCTTTTCGTTTAGTAACAGTTCATTTAGACACAATTCTCGTATCTTTCCTCGTTTAATAGATTCAATCATTTCTTTAAAGTAGTCGACTTGTAAATTAATAACAGCTTATTCTAAAATAAAGGTGAAGTGTAGTTCTTTGTACTTGTTATTCGTAAGCATTATATACCAACTAATATTTGATTCATCATCATACCTGATTTATCATTAACTCTTCTTCTTGATTCTTCTTCGTATTTTTTTTCTGAATCGTCTTTATGAATGACATCTGATTCATCACAATTCCTTATTCTCAATAAATTTTCATGTCCTTTTTCTAAATTATTATCACGATTTCTTCTTGAATCACCACGATTAACATTTAGTTCATCTTGATACTTTCTTGATTTATTGTTATGATTTTTTCTATATTTTTTTGGATATTTTTCATATTGAGTCATTTCCAATGATGAAAACTCTAACGATTCTGATGAAGAACTATCATATATACAGAAAATATCAAAATATATATTTAAATTGTTTATAAATAAATATAATTGTAAATCAATTATTAATGATACCATTACTGATATTTATTTTTATGTTTTTCATGAGAACGAGAACGTGACTGGCTTCTTCTTTATAAAGGAGATTATTGACTTAAATATTTATTTTGAGAATGATGTGTATGTATCATAGTGTATTAAAACATTGAGAACACATTTATTTAAAATTGTATTTTATCAGGAAAAGAATGATATAAATAAAAAAAATCTAAAGATTGTTCTTTTATATTTATCAGCAAATTAACTTAAATACAAATAGTTTATGATGAGTTTATTTAATCAATGTGATACTGATTAAAGTATAAATGTGTTATCGAACAATATAGAGATTTTATTTTAATCAATATAATACTTTAATTGATTGATATAAATGTTTGTTGATTGATATACTATAACAATATCAATAAAATATCAAGAAATCAATATACTGATTAACGCCAAATGTTATTTATTATGCAAATATATAAACTCTCTCTTAGATACATCTAACGAGAAATTCTAACACAAAGAAATTAACTGTTTAAATGCTCAAACATATAATAAGGAGTTCTAATAAAAAACAAACTAAAAGGTATAAGCAGAAAAAATCAAAGATATTTAATTCTACAACTAAAAAACTGGTTGCTTGTTATTGTGATCAATGTAACAGTAAAGAAGTTGATTCAAAAACGAGAAAAAGATATAATAACCTCAAAGAACAGCTTGAAACCCATTCTTATACATCAAAACAAACTGCTAATAAAATGTATGAAGTTTTGAATGTTTCTAGAAAAAAACTCTAAACTAATTGTAATCGATTTATTATCTTCCAGTTTAACAAGCTCATCTGATAATAATAAAGAAGTAAATTGAAAATTGAAAAAATAAGAACCTAGAAAAAGATATGATCAGTTTCAACATACAGATATTATTGACATAAATTAAGAAGAAGAACAAACCCGATCATCTAGTTCATTAAGTGAAAAAGAATGGTTTCAATCAGCTGATAATAAATACCTACATGAAGAAGAAGAAGAATTAAGCAACAAGGATGATAGAAATCTTTTTGAACAATTTTCCGCTTTCAATTTAAATGATATAGATATCAATTTGAATCCTGAATCTACTAGCTTTGATGATTTGTAGATTTTACTTTGGATCTTTAAATATCAAGAAAGGTTTCGTCTTTCAGATGTAACAATAAATTCATTAATCCAGTTTTTTCAGCTTGTTTTATTAGATGTTGATTTGAGACGATTTAAAAAATTTTCTTCATTAGCATATATAGCAAAAAACTGCTTGGAATCGGAGAAAAGACAAAATATTTGCAGTATATCCCAACTGCAATAAATTGCATAATGCATATAATAGTAAATCTGAATTCAAGTGTGATTATATTGAATTCCTAACTCACCTAAAGCAAAATCATCATAAAGCTTGAGAAACTAAAATAATGAAAAAGGTTCTGATTGTACAAGGATATATCTGACGTCTAAAGTTAATATTTTCTTTGCCTAACTTGAAGAACCAATTGGCTACTATGTTTCAACACCCAGATTTTGAATAATAACTTCTAAAATGAATAAACCGGGATGTGAGAAATGAATTAATGTCTGATATATATAAAGGAAGAATTTGGAAAACATTTCTCTCTTCTCTTGAGGATCTGAATTCCTGATTTTTTACACCAGAAACTGCAGATTCTCATTTAGGAATAATGATAAATCTCAATTAGTTTCAACCTTTCGAATCTTTTGTATATAGTACTGGTGTAATTTATGAAGTTATTTGTAACCTTTCACATGAAATAAGATTTAAAAAAGAGAATATGTTAACTCTTGGAATATTGCCAGGACCTCGAGAAGTTAAAAAGCATTGAATTAATCATTTTCTTGCTCCAATTATCGATGAATTATTGGAATTGTGAAATAGATATGATTTGCCAGTTTCATCCAAATTTCTAAATAGAAAAAGGATACGATTAGCAGTCATTTGCTACTCAAATAATATTCTCACTGCTCAAAAATTATGTGAACATATATCAGCTATTGTGGTATGTTATAGGTAAGGTTGGAAAATTTGTATGTATTAGGCAAATTTTGACCTTGTACTTGTACTGTACTGTACTAAATTTTATATTAATTATTATGTGTACTAACTATACTAAACTATACTAAGCTATACTAACTGTACTAATTTTCTAACCCTGGTTATAGGTATTATAAACGGGCAAATAGTGATGATGATAGTAAAAGGGTAAATTATAGAAGATTTGACGATATGGCAAGCTGGTTTATAATAAGAGACCTAAATAAATACCAACAAAATGCTACAGCTTAGTTGTATTGTCAAACAGAAAAAGAAAGAGATCATCATGTTTCAATCACTTTAGCCAGGTGGTCTGAAATGTTATGCTTACCTTATCATGATCCTATCAAACATCTAATAGTTGATCTCATGCATTGCTTATTTCTCAGTATTACTCAGTAAATAATAAAGAGACTATGGATATACAATGGTAAAATTACAAACCAACAACTTGAAGAAATAGAAAAGAGAGCAAATGATATAAAATTACCATTTGATTTTGAAAGAATTCCAAATAAAATCGCTACTGGTGAAGGCTTTTCAGGATTTACAGCAAACTGATGGAAAAACTTTATTCTTATATATGCCACGCCATTAATTTGAAATATTCTTAGAGATTTTGATTGGGAGATATTAGGTAATTTTGTTAGGGCTTGCTTCTTACTAGTCTTGCACATTATTGATAATAATGTATTGAAGGAGGCATATTCCCGATTGTTGAAAGTCGCTCTTTTAATTGAAAGATATTATAGGCCAGAATTTATAATACCAAATATCCACTTATTACTTCATATTACTGTCTGTTGTCTCAATTATGATCCACTTTATTCATTCTGGTATTATTCATTTGAACGAATGAATAGAGTATTGGGTAAGTACTTTTAATAATTATTTTAATTATTTTCAAAAATAAAAAATAGTTTAGTTTAATTTCTTTAACATAATTGTATAGTATAGAGTGCTGACTGAGGCAGTACTTCATTATTATAGTTATTAAATAAACTGTTAAATTATCGACACTCTTCTAAATCTAATTATCAAATTAAACCTTCTGCTTACCACTCTTAAATATTGCTATACTTATCACTCATAAGCATCTTAAAAAACTAACCATAATACTATAAACAAATTGTTATAAATTTACTTTTTCAGATATAATTAATAAATATGATCAGAAAATGTTGACTTCTCTAATTATTGTAATAATAGATCTTTCATAACAATTGAACTTAATAAAAACTGCTATATAAAGTAAAGGTGATCTTTGTTTTTTAAATAGAATGTTCTCATTAAATTGTTAACTAGTAATACTTATTTAAATTAATTTTATTATGATTAAACTTTCATCAAATTTTATATTTGACTAAATCCTTAATTAAAGTCTAAACTTTTAATTTAAATCTAAATCTTTAACTAAACTTTTAGTAAATGACTAAATAATTAAATTGCTTTATAATATATAAATTTTAAATTTTATTTATTTATCTTTATTAAAGAATATATTATTATTCAATATTTATTAATTTTAACTTAAATCTTTTATTATTTATATTAATTAAATATATAATCAAAAAATATTACTAATTAATATTATAGATAAGAATTATTTACACAAGTAGAATGCTGATCATTCAGAATATATACTGATTTATAACTGTTTGATTATTCGAATTGATTAGTTATTAATAAGCATATATTACAAATCAGAAATCAATCAGTTATTTACCCGATTAATATAGAATTATTAACAGATTATTATCTATTTATTATTTTTGCTACTATATATTAAAAAAATGACTTTATAGATGAAAATGTTTATTAATAGAAATGACCGTCATGTATTTGATAGGTTTCTTTACTCCTACTACAAAATTACTGCTAACAAATCGGCAATATATATTGTGAATAGGAATTATACTATCTCTGCTAATTTCATAAAAATTATTCTTCCAAAGTTCAATATTATAGCTATGATCATTATTATTTTCAATTCGACAATAAAATCTAATTTTCTGATGATCTACCAGTAAAAACTATCTAACGAAGGCTAAATAATAACTTTTAGTCCTATCTGAAAAACCAATTTTGTGTTCAAAATAAAATTGAACTTGGCCAAGAAATGTTTCTATAATACTATTACTCTGAACGAATTTTGTAAGAATTTGTGAATTCTTTGCAAATCGGGATGCTAGAGTTGATCTAAATACTTTTACGCTAATTCAAATACGGCCAAATTGATTTACATTAGGCATAACAACAATTGGTCGATCAGATGTTTCATTTTTAAATGCTCTACTTTCAACCAAATCAGCAACCAATACAAATATCATTTCATATGCATTGTTATAATATTCTACGAGTAGCTTGTAAATATCATTTGGTAGGTTTACTTTAGACTTTTTGGGGTAAGCATTACTCCAGAAAATGACTCACTACCAGTTATAATGTTATTAATATTAAGATGACAAATATCTAAAAATCGAGACAATTCATCAATTTCAAATCCATCATATGCTGCCAAACTTCCAACAGTTGGTCGAGATCAAATCAAATCAAATCCTTTTTTCAGTTTTTGATTTTCTATTTGTTGAGAAATTAGATTATCTAATTACTAATTTTGTATTATAATACGTAATAATTCTGGCTCAATATTACATTTACTATTAGGTAAAGATCCTATTAATAATATAAATAAATTAAATAAAATTTTTATTTTTGAAAATAATTAAAATA